CTCTTCAAAAGGCTTGTTTTTAGTTGGAACAATATGTAAAAACAAAAAAAGCACCGGCTGATTTTTTTAATTTTTTTTACAGTATGTGGAGATTTTATTTGCAGAGATGATCAAAGTGGTTTTTGCTCCGTCGTGAACCTGGAGTCCTAAAATAGAGGCCGTTGGAGGTTCAGACAGAAGTGTGGCACTTCATTTGTTTTTCTTCTTCTTCTCCCAGATTAACCACTTCACCTTGGACGTCTGCCTTCAGCGCAGGTTTAATCGTCGCGCGTCGTATAATTTGGTTCAGAAGAAGGAAAACACTTGACCTTGGAAGCCCCTCAGAACTGACATTTGTGCCAGAGCTGCGTCCGTGTTTCCATCCACGGCACACTTGACAGAGGCCTCAATTTGTCGCTTCACGAGTGTCACTGCAGTACTAATAACCTTCACTCCATGTTGTTACTTTAAATACACGACCTCAGAGCTGCGGACCGCATCTGTCTTCACTGTGTATCTGTCGTTGTTCTCCGCCTCGCGCTCATCCTGTCAGTTGTGCTGAACAGGTTAATTAACACAACGACACGGCAAACAGATAACGAGGAGAAAGTATGTGAAGTAGGATCAGAGGTTTACGCTCAGGACGTGCTTTTAATCCAAACTTTTCCTGAACAGCTTTGGAAACCGAGGTGTCGGACCTTCACGGCCTTTTGCCCGAGACGAGTGGTTCTCAAAGTTTAACAAAAATTAAAGCCAACCCTCGTTACCTTCTTCAAGTTATACAAACAGAACAAAAAAAAAAGCGAAGCGATGATGGTAATTATTTCCCTCAACTTTATGAAAAGGTTATTAACGTCTGGTCTTTTCAGTTTTAATGAAAGCTTTCCATGTGATGTGTCCAGAACAGGGGATACAAAACGGCCTCTGAAAACCTGTGATCACAATGTTTTTCATTTTCCCTCTGTGATTATAGTCGTCCTGAAAAGGACCGGGAACAGGCATACAAAAAAAAAAAATCTGGCCTGCACATCCACTTTGTCCCTGTAATGATGGATAATTATTTAACAAGCTTTGAAATTGCTGTTGACGTGTCACGACTGTTCTGCCCAGGTTTTTGTTAGATGTCTCCTCTCTTCTTGGTGACCCTTCCCCCTCCTTTTTTTCTGTTCCTTTTTTCCCTTCTCACTCTTATCAGTCTTAGCCTTTCTCCTGTGCCTGCAGCCCATTAGTTGATCTATCCAGGCTGTGATTACAGGGCTTATATATTCAGTTTGTGATCACGGTGCCAACCTTGTCCTCTGTGTTTCTGTGCCACTGTCTGACTGACGGCTCACCGGGGCACACTGATCTCTCCCTGTGTGTCACCCACAGTGTTCATTTGTCTGCACTTCATGTACTCTTTCCACTCTCTCCTCATCGTCTGTCTCTGCTGCCAACGCTGCCTTTTTTGTCTTTCTCACACGACATGTTGGATTTCTGCTTGTTCCTCTTGCCTCTCCTGCTGATTATTTCTCCTGTTTTTTTCCTCCCCTCAGTGTCTGTGGCACTTCTTGTGCCTTCTTCCACATCCTAATCATCTCCAAATGCCTCCGTGTTATCAGCTAACCACAGAACCTTTGGGCTCCCGGCTGTGTTAACCCAAAAACAATAACGTGAGAGTTTGGTCGCGGGGCTTCCTGGTATTTTGTTGTGAGGCGTTCACGTCTCCTCGTTTGTTGGCAGTCATTGACACCTGGGGTGTTGGACGTCCTGAGCCACAGTTATTTAACTCTGAAAAGGTGTTTTCAACACCTTCTCTTCTTCATTCTCCTGTCTGTAGACATGCCGTAATGTTGAGAAAGAAAAAAAATCTATTTTTTCATGAACACATTTGTTGCTCTGCTGTGTTGAATTTGCTGTGATATAAAGCATAAAAGTGAGGTTCATTTGATCGTTGATCCTTGAGGAACTAACTGTATACAGTTTAAGATTAGATATTAGAGGATTAGATAATAATTGGTGTTATTTATTCCACACATGGAAACTTCTTGTATTAACAGCACATCTGCTACAACAGGCCACCAGGGGCAGGAGCCAAGTATGTGGTTCCTCTGGGAATTGAACCCAGGACTACCTGCTCTGTGCTTCCACGGCAGCTACATTATGGAAGCACTAACTCAACAAATTACCATTTAGGTTAAAAAGTATTTCATTAGTGTAGAGTATAAGAATAGTTAAAGAATAAGAGAACAATTTCATGGTCTTTTTCACCTAATTAGTCTATGTTTAGACTCGACCTTTCTTTTTGTTGACACACAGTTGTTGTTGCAGCTGCTGCTTTTCTTGCATTTTTCACAGGCCTTATGTTGGACAACAACATGTTTTGACTTTACCTACAGCAGGAGGCAGGAAGTCAGGGCATTATCTGAAAAAAAAAATGTAGATCACTCTAAGAGACCTGAAGAAATTGCTGTGTTTATGGAGAATGAGTCTGTTACCGGTGCAGCCCTGACAAGTTTCATCAAGGCGCTGATGAAAGTTGAAGGCAGTTGAAGAGGGAAAGTTAGAGTCATGAGGCCAAAAGTGAGACTAACACTTTAAAAGACTGGAAAAAGTGCTTTTAAAAAAAGTCTGTCTGCTTGTCAGACCTCATACTGCTTCAAGGCTCGAGGTGTTGAAAACACAGCGTGTCGCCCCCAAACTGTCTCCTGCTGTACTTTTAAGGAGACAAGCCTGATCGCATGGATAACTCTGATATCAGCAGAATCTTTTCAAACCCAGCTCGCCATATGTCTCTGCAGATGTTAATATTACAATATAGATTAAGATGAATGTGCTGATGATGGCCCCACTGTTAGCGCACGCTCGCCGCGCGCTGCTACAGTGGACACAGGCGTTTCTCGCCCAGTGTTCAAAGACAGTCTGCCCCAAACTGCTGAACTCTGACGTGTTCATTTGCCGTTTAAATTTTGGTTTGAAAGCGGAGGTTAAGTGGTTGTCTGCGCTTGGCACTTGTTACTGAGTCTGTGTATTTTTGTCTGTTCTTTTATTCTATATATATATAGATATATATATGTATAGATGCACATATGCATATATTTTTCAGAGTCTGGATTGTAGTGGTCATCATTATACAGTGAAATACTTTGCTCATAATAAGTCGATACAATATAGAATATAGTGAAAAGGTAGGGAAGTAATTGTTTTTTTTTTTTCAATTTATTCAAACAGCATCTTTTTTCAGAACATTTTTTAATATTTCCTGGTGCTCCAGCAGAACCCCCTGGTGATGCTCTACGTTTTATGTCGTTCCTAACTCCCTCGGCACCTTTACTTTTTCACTAATGTTTGTTTATTGTTACAAAAAAAAATGTAATCCCAAAAAAATAACAGGTGAGAAATGGCATTGGTTTAGTTTTGTTTGGAATAAGTGCTTTTTAAATGAGCAGTGATTCACCAGTGAGTCTGCTGTGGAGCTGTCCACGGTGCTGAAAGCAGTAATTCACCAGCAGGTCTCTTGTGTGGCTGTCCATGGTGCTGAAAACTCACTCCTTGTTCACAGCACAGGGGAGAAGGGAGAAAAAAAACAGACTTTTAAATATTGTATTTTCCACTGCTGCAAAATGAGGGTGTGGGGTCATGGCTGGGCTTGTTTTCAAGGCTCCGCGGGCCTCGTTTGGTTGTTTGTTTGCACTCTGGTGTGTTTTTACTGCTGAGACCAGAGAACAAGGGAAGGTCCTTATTCTGCTTAAGTCTGACAGATGGCATTATTGTTCCGGCTCTTTCTCTTCTTATTATTCCAAATGCAGCACTTGGAGTGTCCGACTTGTAAATTTAAGAGTGTTTTCTCACCGTGTGGGTTAGGATTTGTCCTCTTTTGCAAATAACATTATGCTTATGTCTCTTTTATTCCCCACAGTGGTGTTGCTGAACTCTAAAGAGACTCAGGCGGAGCTGGGCTGGACGTCATACCCCCCTAATGGAGTGAGTGTGCTTGCTTGCATTTCTTGGTTTCACATTATGTTTGTACTGCATGTGACTCCTCACCTGCGAGGCTCCACATCGCAGCTCATGTTTGTTTGTTTTTTTATCGCTCTGTATGGAGAATTCTGTTCTCCCTGCAGAAAACAGATTTTAAAGGACAGGACAAGCAGGAAAAAAAAAATAGAAGGATTAGAAAAAAATGGAAAGATTAGAGTTTATTTGTTTCATTCCAGTTTGTCACTCACTGAAATAGTCGGCTACATAAACCAACTGCAAACAATAGTTTACCTTTACTAGTTGTTCCTGGCACACCAGTAACAATTACGCTATCTATTCCAGCCCACTAGGTGGCGCTGATACAAAACAAATTGGATTTAACAGGCGGATGAAGATGCACGAGATGCATTGAACGATGCTCGGCCTGGTTCTTCCTCTGTTTTCTCTCGTGCCGTATTCTCACTCTTCTCCCGCCACGGAGCTCATCATTATCATTAATCGATGCTGCTAATCCAGGCTGGAATACTGCAGTGTCCAAACCACCGAGTGAGATTCACCGCCGCAGATAAATGAGGGGCTGCTTTATATCGATCCATTCACCTTCTGTTAGAAAAACCTTCGCACCAGGTTATGAATGTAAGACAAACACACAGGCCCTCATTACAGGAGGGGGGGGGGGGTGTCAATGCCTCTCACCTGGAGGTTGGCCTTTTCACTTTTCTCAAATGGACAATCCACACACACACAGTCTACCAAAATGCTGTGTGTATTTGTTTTTTTCCAGTTCAATTCTGTTCATAAAGGGTTCAAATAAAATAAGACGTGATCGTCTTTTCAACACGTGCTCTTTGGTTCGCACTAATTACTGCTAATGAAATGAAATGATTACCTTTCATCTTGAACCCATTAAAATGCAGATTATTTCACTGACGCGGCGATTCAACATTTAAATTACACATTTAAGTTAACTTTAAATTAAATTGAATTCACATGTTAATTATGGTTGAGTTTAACATAAAAAGAAGTTTCCACTAACACAGTCAGTATTTCACTGGTGTTTTCAACAGTTTCTAATTCCATTTTTGACCATTTATGGGATTAAAATCTCCATAAATGTGAAGAAAGTTCTGTGAAAATCTCCATCACAAACTCAGCTACACAGAACTGCAGTATTTGTGTAGTACTAATGAGTTTCCTTCATCAGTCAGGAGGTACTGAGCTCCGACGCGTCCTCATCGTTGTCTTCTCTCTCTCTCTGTCTTTGTTTCTGGATGTTTAGAGATTTTCTTGTTCAAGCTCATTGCCTCACACTTTCTCCCTTCTCTAAAACAGTGGGAGGAGATCAGCGGCGTCGATGAGAAGTACAAGCCCATCCGCACCTACCAGGTGTGCAACGTGATGGAGCCCACGCAGCAGAACAACTGGCTGCAAACGGGCTGGGTGGCCCGGCGGGGCGGCCAGCGCATCTTCGTGGAGCTGCAGTTCACCCTGAGAGACTGTAACAGCATCCCTGGAGTGGCGGGCACCTGCAAGGAGACCTTCAACCTCCTGTACGTGGAGTCGGACCGCGACCTGGGCGGCGTGACCCGCGAGGACCGCTACACCAAGATCGACACCATCGCGGCCGACGAGAGTTTCACGCAGGGCGACCTGGGTGAGAGGAAGATGAAGCTGAACACCGAGGTGCGAGAAATCGGCCACCTCAACCGGAAAGGCTTCCATCTGGCGTTCCAGGACGTCGGCGCCTGTGTGGCCCTAGTGGCCGTGCGGGTGTACTACAAACGCTGCCTGGCCACAGTGCAGAACCTGGCGGTGTTTCCCGACACGGTGGCCGAGGCGGCTTTTGCCACGCTGGTGGAGGTGCGGGGCACCTGTGTCAACAACTCAGAGGTGGACATGGACAGCCCTCCCAGAATGCACTGCAGCGCTGAAGGAGAGTGGTTGGTGCCAATCGGGAAGTGCAGCTGCAGCGCCGGCTACGAGGAAGGACACAGCAGCTGTGAAGGTAGGAAAGATATTCTTATTTAATAGAAAAAAACTAAAAAAGATAAGAAAAGAAAAGAAATATATAAACCAGGATTACAACTAAATTAAACCCAAGAATTATATTTAAAACATTTCTTAGTGACCCAATCTTAAAAAAAAATGTAAAGAAAACTTGATTCAAACATTATAAAATAAGGGGCCGCACACTTCGCTTTGGGAACCTGTATTGACATGAATTAGTGAAGGGAGTACAGACGTGGTCTGGTCGGATTAGTGGAGTTTTCTGGCGTTTGCAGCCTCGTGGTCTGGGCGACAGCAGGAGAATCTGTGAGACGACGGAACACAAATTTACACAGTTAAAAAAAAAAACCTTGTCAGAATCTTTTACAAGTGAAAACTGTTAGTGAACCTTAGAGAATCCTGTTCAGCAGCTCCGACAGTGTTGGGCTGACAGCCTGCTGGTGAAAACCTGAGAACAGCAGCTGCACAGACTCTCAGCTGAGCCACGACTCACCCCCCCAAGACCCCCTCCCCTTTGTTCCCTCTGTCATGACATCAATGCTAATTTCACATGTACACCCAGAGACAGAGAGAGTGTGTTGTCACACATATCGACACGTGAGGTGCAGTAGGTGAAGCGCGAGCGCTCCTGTGTTTACAGAGGTGAACAAACGACTGGTGCACGGTCCCCTCAGAGGTCGGCGTTCTATTGAGTCGTTTGCTGCATTTTGCAAATCAAACCTGTTCTGCTTTGATCCTCTGTTGTTGAATTGTTGCTCAGAGACACGTAGGTGTGAGCTCCAGTCTGTGTGGGCTCTGATGGAATTTATTGAAGTGACCAGTTAGTCATCGTCTGTCTGGGCTGAGTCACTGATGACAGCTTTATGTTTATCTGGTCTTATAGGCCAGAGCTGATGTTCATACATAAACCATAGACCAGTGATCAGCAACTGGTGGTCCGCGGGCAGAATTCAGTCCACGGAACAGCACCGTAAATTCAATGTGTTACTTGTCACTGAACTTATAATGAAGTCAGAGGCGTATGACACTTATGTTGTCACTTACATTACAACAAGTCTAAAGTGATGGAGAACATAGCATTTAAATGACCTTTAACAGGTTTCCCTTCAGGTTATTATTTTTTTTTAATTTAACATTTGCTCTTCATCCACCAAGTCAACTGTGGGTTAAATAAAACCTACTCCGGAAAAAATATGACATGGTTATGATGAAAAAACCTGTCAAACCTGTTGGAGATTTCAGGATAATTTTACACCTGTCTTAGAACTTTTTGACTCAACTTTATATTTATATTATAGGCACGAACAATTTTGAGTCCTCTGAGGTCCATACAAAAGTTATTAAGTCCCAAAACTGAGATGCCAAGAGGGAAATTAGCATGACCTCTGAAATAAGAAATGAGAATTTCAGGCCGACGTACACAAACAGGGATCGACTGTTAATTCCTAGTTTTGGTACATTTCAAATGTACAGTAGACGAAGGCTACGTCGATGTGAACACCGTCTAGAAACAGTTATCGATAGATAATTTGGCTGCGGCCGTTTGACTGAAAGTACAGTAAGTGAAGCGGAACATTTGTTCGGCTGCAGTTTCCCTGCTCCTGCCTCTTACAAAGTGTTTGACAGTTGGCGATAAACGCCGCCGCCTGATACTACAGTTGGTGTGTGTGTGTGTGTGTGTGTGTGTTTATCGATTTACTCCTTTGTAATTACCAACGATGCTGCTGTAAAAGCTGAGGAGAGGACAATGAAATCTGATGGATTTACTGAGAGGAGGAGAAACAAAGGAGGTAGGAAGGAAGGAAGTGGTGATTGGTCAGAAATGAGGAGAGGAGACGGGAGACACGTCTGATTAAAACAGCAGCAAGAAAACCACGATGAAGACTCGATTACTGTGGTCGGTTCTGTACTAAAGTTCAATCAATCAGTCACTGTAGATCAACACCGAAAAATTGAACCCAAGACCCGCTGCTCTCTGGTCTTTTACCTGCCCAGGTAGTCTGCTTAGCTTGCTTGCTAACCGCAAAACAACACACAAATGTCCAGGAGAACAAATATATATGACTTTGTTGGGAAAAATGACATGTTTATATTTGACCAAAGATGCTTTTGTTTTGTTGTAGCAAGAATGTCCAGCTTTTCTGCCAAGACGTACAGGCACAGAGGCATTAGTGGCTACTGTGAGGGGAAGCAATGGATAAGAGGATATGGGGTTCAGTTGTGCTTCAGGCTCCCTCTGGTGGAGGCTCGGGCCGCTGCTTTAGACGACCCCAACAGTTGAATGAAGTTTCACACCTTGGATTTTTAAGATGAGAGTTTTTTTATTTACACACCAGTGAAAAGTGACAGTACCGAGGAGGACGGGAAGTAGAAAGAGTTCTCATCTGTCTGTGGTTCTCCCTGTGAAGAGTGTGGTCGGCTGAGTGACAGGTACTGCCTCCCTCTCTCTCTCTCCCTCTCCCTCTCTCTCTCTCCCCCCTCCTGCCTTTATCCCCTCTTCGTAGCGGCTCGTTTTTCTCAGTTCAGCCGTTATGGTATGAATATGCAGCGCCAACTGCCGACATCTCCCACTGCACCAGAGCTATTGATCAGCTGTAATGCTCCGCTAAACTGAAGAATTGTGCTGGGACTGCTCACGCTTACACACACACACACACACACACACACATTATAGGTTACAAATTACTTAGAACGCTGCGGTAGCTGCTCGGCTAATGTGCACACACACACATTAGACTTGGTTTCATTCTCTGGGTGAAACAAAGACACTAAACCTGTCTGTGTGTGTGTTCGTTGGGAGTAAGTGTGAAATGTAATGTTTTTATTTCAAATCATGGCGGTACACTGAGATATTTAATGATTTTCACCCATGTTGTTGTGCGTACATGTGTGAGTGACTAATGTACGTCTTATTTACCCCCGGGTCTAATTGTGTAACTGAGCGAATGCAAATGCTCTAAGTGTCTGCAGAGCCCAGTCGATAATATTGAATCGCCGGTGAGTAGCTACTGATATTGGTGTAAGCAGATGGCGTTGTGCAGTGGAGAGGAAGATTGTTACCTCACGCAGCGTAAACGATGGCAAACGCCGGGTTATTTCAGGTCTGCTGTCGTCGTATGTGTTGTTTAGGATTGAACTGTGATACTGGCCCGTATACTCACTGACAAACTGTATTCAGTGTTGAAATACAGACAACAGTGAACAAAAACAACATGCTGTCGAGAGTGGACGAATGACCACAGAATATGTCTTCAGTAACTGGTAACGTTTTATTGACTCAATAAAGCTTTAAATTAGCCCCGATTAAAAAATAAAAAAGTTGTTTGGAAGTCAAAATATCCTACCAAAAACCAACAAAAAACAAAATAGCTAAAGATTAGCGAGTTCAGAACTTGCTTAATGTTAGCAATCTTAAAAAAAAAATTCCAAACTTACTCTAAGAATAATTTTAAGACAATAAAGAAAAAAGCTGAGCTTAAAATACCTGGGAGTTAAACAAGATCACTTAATGTTAGCTAAAGGACGAAGGTTAGCTTTGTTGTAGCATTTAGCCTACCAAATTAACTAATTAACAAAAAACCAGAAAAGATAATGTCACAAAAGAGATTAGCTTCACAACACAGAGTTACCCAAGACGCTAACCCCTGTTTTATCAATTTTAAAATATGAAGTGATGTGATGTGATCAGAATACTAAAGAATTAGAACCGTTTAAAAAGATCTCCATTTTGATGATGGTCCACAAAATATCATTTTAGCTAAGCAGTTCTGGGCTGCAGCAAACCTTTTATTTCCTCAGACTGGGCTTTTCTTCCCTTTATAGAGGAGAGGCTGCCAAATTCTTTCAAGCTGATGGAAAAAAAGAAATTGCCAACGTGCTTTTCAGTCTTTTAAAACTGATTAAAACAGAGTTGAAGAAGATAAAAAAAAAACCACCCAAAAGAAGCCGGTGATTTAGAGACAAGATGGGGAGAAAAGACACCACTGTGTGAAATTACAAATTTCCAATTTGCACCATACACACTTTCTGTGATGATCACACACACACACGCGTGTGCTCATTAACAAATGCCATGAGCAGAGCTGCAGCTCCAGGAGAGGAAACATGATGTAATAATTCACCTTTTGAACAGAAACACGTCTCAGTGATTTTATTAGAGTTTTTTTTTCATTTGTTTTTTTGTGTGTGTGTGTGTGTGTGCGTCTCCTCCTCGAGAGCTCCATCCTGTTCTAATTAAGTCAGTCTGCTGTCTCTGTATAATTACTGTAGCCACGCTCAGGCCTTCAGCAGATTCTCTTATTATCTCTGTGTGTTTGCTGCTCCACACTCCACCTCCCGGCACATTCACCTCCTCCCTGCTCCTCCCTGCTATTCCAGCTCCTCTAATTTACCACAGTCCCCTCCCCCTTTTACCCCCCTCTGCGTTCTTTATTTTCCATTTACCCTCTGCGTGTGTTTGCCTCGCTGCGTCGAAGCAGCGTGAAGTTAATTTCTCTGTCTTTTCCTGTTTGTTTCTTTCCAACTTTCTCCACTTTTTCCCTGAACCTGTTGTCACTCTTTCTGACCTAAGCTTCTACATGACACTGACCAGCTGTGATGTCGGCCCCCTAGTGGATTAGTTTGTCATTGTCTTGCACTATTTGTGTACACGACCGTCAAGGAGATATGCAATATGGATCCCCTAGATGGCGTTGTGTTTAAAAACTTTTCATCCATATTGGCTAATGTGTGAGCAGTTGAGACTAAAGTCAGCAAAACGTCAGAGTGTAAAGTGATACCATGGTGTCGCCATTTAACATAGCATTTTTTAGCTAGCCCTGGTTCTTTTCGGAGGTTAGCTTCATGGCCTCACATCGTGGTTGTTTTGCCGGGTTCACTCCTGAATGTTATGTATTTCTGCCGCAGCCATGTGGGGATGAGGGAGGTGGGTGAACAGTTGAAAATCTGCTTTAGATGGTCAGAGAGTGTGTGTGTGTGTGTTCTCTTAATTACATTAAT